ATGCTGTGCACGCTGCCTTGCTTGAGGCTGCTTGGAGAATGACTTGTGTGGATAGTGTGGCAGCAAGCTGCTTGGACAGGCTGGTAATAGAGTCCTTATTCTTCTTCCCATCAACATTTCTGCCGGAGATGGAAGACCGTTACTTGGCGTTGCTCTGTAGGTCATCAACACTAGTGCCAAGTCCTTTCCTTCGGAGAGAGCCTTAGTCATTGTGGCCTTGATGGTTTGTATTGTCTGTTCTGCTTGTCCATTGGACCTCGGAAAGAGTGGTGACGATGGGTTGTGGACGATATCCCACTCCTTGTTGAAGCTTCTATACTCCAGAGAATCAAATGGGGGGCCTTGGTCACTGACAACTTCACTTGGTATGCCGTGGCACGCATACAGCTCCTTGAGCACTGATATAAGAGCAGATGCCGTTGTAGTCGACATTTTCTTGACTTCCACAAACTTCGAGTAATAATCTACCACAAGCAAATAAGTGGTGCCACCGTGGTAGAAGAAATCCATGGCTACTTTCTCCCATGGGCGTATTGGCAAGTCTCGGTCAAGAAGTGGTTCTCTTTGATTTGCTCTTTGGTGGCGTTGACAAACTTCACAGCTGCTGATCAGCTCCTCGATGTCCTGGTTTATCCTAGGCCAGAAGACGCTTTGGGAAGCCAGGTTTTTGCATGCGACAATGCCGCGATGGGTCATGTGAAGTCTTGAGATCACATCCTTCTTGCATGCTTCTGGCACTACTAGTCGTTCGCCATAGCAGATGAAGCCATCGGTTATGTAGAGCTCACTTCTTCTTGAGTAGACGGTTCTGACTGACGGGTGGACCTTTGAGATTTTATTTGGCCAACCGTGCTCGATGTAGGTCGTTACACGCTTCAAGACCTCATCTGCTGCCGTGCTAGCTTGGATTTCAGCCAGCTTTGCTGTGGATGCGTGAACCAATGTGCAGACCAGGACACCATGTTCCTCGTCTACTGTCTTGATGGTCTGCGCTGGTTTAGGTGCACGAGACAGTGTGTCAGCAACTGTCAAGTGTTTTCCAGGCACGTGGACTAGCTTCACCGTGAAACGCTGGATACGAAGGAGCAAGCGTTGGAGTCTGGGGGAGATTTTGTAGAATTCCTTTTGGTGCAAGCCGATGAGGGGCTTGTGATCAGTCTCCACCACGACGCTTCGACCACAGATGTAGTAGTAGAACTGCTCACACGCAAACACTACGGCCAACAGTTCCTTTTCTATTTGCGCGTAGCGCTGCTGTGCCGGCGTTAGTGCTGCTGATGCGTATGCCACTGGATGTCCGTCCTGCAGAAGGATGCTGCCAATTCCATATGAGCTGGCTTCGGTTGATATCACAATTGGTCGCGCAGCATTAAAGTAATGCAACACTGGAGCAGTGGTCAGGTTGTCTTTGATCTCAATGAATGCATTGGACATCTTGCGAGTCCAGTGCCATGCCACGTCGGACTTCAGGAGCTCACGCAGAGGTTGCGTCTCTGTTGAGAAGTTTGGAATAAACTTCATAAGGTATGTTGCCATTCCGAGAAATCGCAGGAGCTCTGCCTTGTCATTTGGTGGTTGTAAGGCCTGGATTGCCTTTACCTTTTCAGGGTCAGGAGCAATGCCTTCTTGGGTAAGCTGGTGACCAAGGTAGGTTACTGTAGACAGACCCAGCTTGAGCTTGTCCTTGTTTAGCTTCAGATTGTTGTTGCGTGCTATTTCAAGCACCTTTCGCAGATGGGTTGCATGGTCACTCTGTGTTCTAGAGGCTACCAAGATGTCGTCAAAGTACGGCATCACAATGGTTTGGCGCTCGAAGATTCTGTCAATGGCTTGCTGAAAGAGCTCTGGAGCTGTGCTGAGTCCAAACGGAACTCTGAGGAACCTGTACCGACCCCAAGGTGTTGCAAATGTGCACAGGTACGAGCTCTCTTCATCAAGAGCCAGCTGCCAAAATGCACTTTTGGCATCAAGCACTGAAAACACAGTGCACCCAGATAGCCGCGCAGAGAGTTCTTCTGGAACTGGAATGCGGTAGTGCTGCTGCTTAACTGCTGCATTTAGGTTTCTTGGATCCAGACAGATCCGCACATTTCCATCTTTCTTTGTGATGATGACAATGGGATGAACCCAGTCAGTTGGTTCTGTCACGGCCTTGATAATGCCATTGTCCTGCATTCTTGTGAGCTCGGCCTTCACAGTTTCTTCGAGTGCACTTGGCACCCGGCGAGGGGCAGTCACCGTAGGCTTTACATCCGGTTTCAGGCGAATGCTGTATTCTCCTGGGAGTTTGCCGAGTTGCGAAATCCCACTTCTGACACCATGTTATATATTGATTGTTATCGATTGAATCAGACCCAGACCCATGGATTCAGACGGGCCGCCAAGATGTGTGTGTCCCACACAGCTAGGCCTGACTTTTTATTCACGAGGGCAAACTGCCACTAAGAGGGCGCCACTAACATGTCGATATATATATATATATAACAACGTCGACGTTTATTCAGTTTTTTCGCCACGCCACTTCACAGCCCACATGGTGTAGGCGTACAGGTCTCGAGGCACACAATTACTTTGAGCCCCTTTCCGCGCTGCCGGTGGGATCAGCAAACTGTGGGTCTGCAGAAGTGCATTTACTAATTGATTAAATACACACAGCGTCTTCAAGTCAAGGTATGATATTTTTCTTACCCTCATGACCACAAGGCACGACAAAAGGTAACGCTTTTTCTGTTCTGTCGCCGGTCACCTTCCACTTACTATAGCTGTGCTGTAGGTGTTACCGAAAGAAAGTAATGAAATATGTTACTCGTTACTTGCAAATAAAAGGAATGCATTACATCCATTGATGTGAAGTAACACACACGTCACTTTTGCATTTTTTATTTATAACTTAACAATAACGGTGCCTTTTTTTGTGACAGCATTTTTTGACATTGGGACAAAGGGCAGGGCATTGTTTTTTAGTTTTTTTTTTAAGTGGGACTTTTTGAATAGGGAAAAGACAAGCAAAACGTTGAAGGTAGGTGAAATGTAGTGCAACAATTAATGACTTGGCGCCTATACTTCATATCAGTTTAAGCCCAGACGCAGCCGATTCTACGAGCTGACGGGACAAATCAAGCAACGTCAAAAGAGGAAGGCACTGAACCTTTCTTGTTTATTATTCATTCATCGATGATAGAACAGATACAGAAACATGACAAACACCATGATGGTGCGCTTTTGATGCTATTCAATTAATCCCATCAGCTCGTAGCATCGGGCTGAACATAAAACGAAGCATGAAAGCAAGCGTGAAAAAGAATTACTTTTTCCAGGTCTTGGGGAGATTATATAATGATTAACATAACTATGGTACGCATTATTCTTTACTCTCCCAAAAAGTAAGGAATATAAATGACTATGTTACAGAAAAAAATAATGCATTGCCGCCAACACTGGTAGCGAGCCACCGACGAGCGCTTGGTCGGTGCTTTGTGCGCGAACACCGTTGGAACAAAATCTGGGTGGTCTCAATGAGACAACGGTTTCCCTGCATATAAGCAAGCCTCGAGACGGAGATTGAAATGGAGCCACACTTGCATTCAAGAAAGTGCTTGCCACACAAACGGTCGTCCTCGTCCCAAGACCATTTTTTTCGATCCGCGGATATTACCACCTTCTACACCTTTCAGAGTCAGCCGAGAACTTGTGGAAGCTCACTCCGAGGAATTTTCTGTACCTTTCGATGCAATTAACAGCTACACAGCTTTGCCGCATGTTGAAATGCTACGACATCCATGCAAAACGCGCGCCCTTCTGCCACCCAGCTCCGGCGCGATCACAGCGCCTCTGCAGCTCCGCGATGTCAAGCCCACGTGTCGGTCTGTACACGTTTGCAAGTCCGGCGTCAGGGCGCTGCCATCTTCCTCGGCTGGAGTGTGTTTGGACACGTCACAATCTGATTACGAAGGCTTGCTAAGGCGTTGTAATCGGATTACGGCCGCGCCCAAGCGCACCCCAGTGAGCAAGATGGCGGCGCCCCGAGACCGGACTTGCAAACGTGTATAGACCGACACGTGGGCTTGATGTCACGGAGCTGCGGCGGGCCAGTGCTGTTACCTTAGCAAGAAAGTCGCCAAATTTAGTGCGTTTTCAGTCGTCCTAACGACTTTTCTGTCTTTTTGGAGTCTTGGTAACTTTACTAAGGACTTTTATTTTTTTTTTTACAGTTAGGTAAATTGTTGTTACTAAAGCTACATAGAGCCTCTCCAGTGGCTTTCAGGTGACTGCTCCGGACGTCACTCATTTTTTTTTTCCTCCTGTTGAGGGTGAGGGTGATGAGAGGTAGCGGTCATGCAAAGACATTCTCAAACCACGATAGAACCACTCCCCTTTTCAGGGATTATGTAGCAGGTGTTTGTAAAATCCTTTTTGAACGTCGCAAAAAAAAAAAAAACTGCAGGTATTGACGCGAGCAGCTTTGTTTGACAAGTTATGGAACAAACCTGCTCACGACGGTTAAACTCCAGGACAACTTCAGTGCGGTTATCGAAGATAACCCCCCCGAGGATGAGGGTTTATAAAAAAACTGGTAGCTACATGAATTCAATGCAGTCTTTTGCTGTTTTGCTCCTGGTTCAGGATCTTCTCGCTAACGCCTTGGCGAGCTTGTTGGGAATGGGACGGCCGGCGGTTAGTTTCCGCAAATAACACAAGCGTTGAGGTTTGCCAACTTGCTGGACCTAGCGTTATTATGCCTCCCAAGTACAATCACCACTATAGAAAAAGTTGGCAGTCTTCACCCGAGTTTAAAGGCTGGTTACGTTCTGTGGAAAACAAAAGCACAAAACCATCCTGTGCCTAGGGAGCGAATTTTATGCGAAGCTTTCCGATATAAAAAAGCATGCCACCACCACCAAGCACTAGAAATCATCCAAACCGTACTACAGTTCTTAAGGGAAGAGGCTGCAGTTTCCAGCCGCAACCGAGCCTTCTTGCGGCAAAAGTGAGGCCGGTTTATGCCTGTTCATATGCGAGCATTAGCGATCCTCGCGACTGACCACCTGACAAAACTCTGCAAAAAACAGTTCATGGACGGCAAAAGCACAGCAGGCTTGTGCATGCAGCGAAACAAGTGCACGGAGATCATTGTGAACCTGTTCTCTCCGCACTTTGTAGAGCTCTTGGTGGCCGACATTGGGGACTCGAAATACAGCCCGATCAGCGATGAGGCTACAGATGTTTTCACTACCAAGTTGCTGGGTGTAGTGGTGCGGTACTTTAGTGCTGCACAGAAGAGCATTGTGAGAATATTCATGGCGTTAAACAAACTGGACGATGGCACGGCTGTGGCTATCATCAGGCGTTGAAAAGCCTCCTCACGCGCATGAGACTTGACATGAAGCGTCTCCTCAACATTGGAGTTGACAACGCTTTGGTGAACACGGACGTAAACGGTGTTTTCAAGACAATGAGGCGCGAGTGGCAACTCCTGAGCTTGATAATGGCAAGACATATGTGCCATTCGTTGCAATTGGCACTTTCCCACGCTGTTCAGGGAACGCTTCTGAGGAACGCAGACTTCTTGGTGCAAGAGGTTCAGCGCGCCAACAAGGCCTACGAGAGGAACGACGCAGATCCTGCGAGGCTTCTTGAAGACCTCACGCTCCCGATAAAGACGGTATGTAGCAAAGTGCTCATTCCAACGGCGAACATCGATAGCCCATTGATGGTCACCTAGATCCCAAGCCGTACTTGGGATACGAGTTCGAGAAACTAGTGAGCACGCTGCCAGCTGTTCCTGAAGTCAACTTGGTACGCCAGTACTGCGTTGTATTCACAGTTAAGCTAACAGCTTTGGCTGGACCTACCATCGAACTACAAGATATTGCAGGCCATGGCATGGCTGTCTGTGGGAGCGTGCCTGCAAGTGCTCAAAGAACCTATTATGGAGCTGGCAGAACTTTTTGGTGTACAACCAAACAAGATAGATCTCGTGGACACCCAGTGGAAGATGCTAACCGTGGTGAGTGGGCGAGCACCACTGACACCATTGCGTTTTGGTCTGAGCTCCTTGCATACTGCGATGCAGCTGGCTCGAACCAGTTTCACGAACTCGCGCACCTAGCAATCAATGTGCTCTCCTTGCAACACTCAAACGCAGAGGTGTAAGAGTCTTTAGCCAACTGAGCGTTGTGAAAACAAAGCAGAGGAATTCTCTCAGCACTGGCAGTACAAATGCCGTCTTGAGCGTTCGTAGTGGACTTTGCCGTCTTGGGAAGTGCTGCTATACTTATGACCCTCCCGACACAGTGACAAGTTGGAACCATGCAAGCGTACTCCTCAGCTTTTGCATCTGGAAACGGTGCATGTGCACAAAGCAATGGCGAGTCTGCAGACGAGGAAACATCGTGATAAAGAACTGTTGCTCAATTTCTTGCGTATAATACAGTTCAGCGACTTGAGTGAAATGTAGTTTCCAATAAAATTATTTCATATTCTATTGTTGACTAGCATTATTGTGTTAATATATTATATAAACATTAGGTATCATCTGTGAATGCAGTAGGCTGTTGCTGAAAGCAAAGTAACAAAGTAAAGCCAGTAAATCTCCCTCGGTAAGGCACCATGGGAAAGATTCACGCACGCCAAACGTTTCACTGCCTCGCGAACGTTTCGGAAATATTTTCATTTTCATTGATCAGTTCATTCACCACTGGAGAAAGTAATTTAAAATATTGTTTCAAATAACAAAACCCTTTGCGTGTCTTATGCAGTTGAAGAGCTAAAAATTAAGCAATTCCGGAAAAAAAACTCGTCATGATCATCACTCGACTTTCAGCTAAAACTGGTCAGACGGGGCAACTTTTCCAGCAATTTTGAGGTTGCTGGCGGGTTGTTCCCTAGCTTTTCCTAGATCGACGCGAACGAGTGAGCAACTCAGTTGAAGCGGCTGCAGCCAATCAGAGACGCAATATTTTCACGTGACACCCCTGTAGTGATGATGACAGCGATGACAGCTAAAGACTTAGTTCTGGTTTGGAATGGATCGTTGTCGGAAATAAACAGTTTCAGAAAATTGAGTTAGTATTCTCAACGCCGTTCAGAGATATAAGAACGCATTTTTAGCGCGTAGCTGGGCGTCTAAACAGTGAAAGAAGAATCAAAGTTAATTATGATGATGATGATTGCAAGTCGGCCTCGCGCATAGAGATCATGCCTCGCGACTTCGCTCAAAATAAAGTTAACAGCACTGGCGGCGGCGCTGCGATCGCGCCGGGTGTAACGCCCCTCAATATTTTGAAAAAACAGAGGGACTTTAGCCGCTTTACCGGTGTGGGCAGAAGGCCGCATGTGGCATGTTTTGCATGGGTGTCATAGCATTTCAGCATGCCGCAAAGTTCTGCAGCTGTTAATTGCACTGAAAGATACAGAAAAAGTAGCGGAGTGAGTTTCCACAAGTTCCCGGCGGACACTGAAAGGCGCAGAAAATGGATAATATCTGTGGATCGAAAAGAATGGTCGGCTCGCGAGGACGACCGTTTGTCACTTTCTTGAAGGCAAGCAAGCACTTTTTTGAAGGCAAGTGTGGCTCCATTTCAATCTCCGTCTCGAGGCTTGCTTATATGCATGCAGGGAAAACGTCGTCTCATTGAGACCACCCAGATTTTGTCCCAACGGTGTTCGCGCACGAAGCACGGGCCAAGCGCTCGTCGGCGGCAGGAAGTACAAAGCGTTACCTTTTGTCGCGCCTTGTGGTTATGAGGGTAAGAAAAATATCATACCTTGACTCGAAGGACGCTGTTTGCATTTAATCAATTATAAAATACACTTCAGCAGACCCGCAGTCTGCTGATCCCGTTGGGTCAAAATATTAAAGAGACGACGACGTGGGCCGTCGATGTCGGTGGCAGCAACTTCATCTTGGAAGTCCAGCAGGCCTTGTTTACGGCGTACAGATCGTCGAAAGCAACGCCGTCCACGCACAGTTTGTCTCGATAGCGCTGCCGTTCAGGCTCGGGTAGCGAACTCAAATAGTCGGGCATAACATACGCTCTTCAATCCCAGTGCAACTGCATAGTCCACCAGGATCTGGTGTCATTAGCGACCTCAGTTCTCGCCACTCCATTGACACGTTCGGCTGTCTCCTCCGGCTGGCCGCCATAGCTGGCACGTAACGTTCACCCAACCTCCTTGGTCATAGCCGTCTGTATTGAGGAGTTTCAGCGAATATAGGGGGCGCTCCGATCGATCCAACATGGCGGACAAGAGGGGGATAGATTTGCGACGCCCGTAGACCGGTAGCGTATAAATAAAGCAAAGCGTGTCGTTCTCTGTTTGTTGCCGTGTGCGAGACGATCATCGTTTCAACCAAGACCTACCGTGATGCTACAGATGAAGTGTTCAAGCCAGTCGAAGGCAAGAAATCTTGCCATAGTCAAGATATGTGTGCAAGTGTTCGACGTGAGCTCTCACGCTGGTGCAGCTGTCATCAAGTTGAACCGAATGTACGCCGGTCCAAAGAAAGGTACATATCAACAATGTTCGCGCGTTGAAACTATGACGCGTACTTTATCGAAGACTAAACTTACCGGTCTGCGGCTACAAATATTTTCGTTGACGTTGCTTAGATGATGTAACCAATTCAGGCCTCGCATTACAAGGTGTTGCGAACTCTTCGGTTGTTCTAGTTAATTGTGCTAAAAAGCGGGTGGATGGAAAGTATGACAACTACAGCATACAAAGGACGATTGAGGTCTTTATCCTGCCTTCTATGTATCGAAACATCGGTATCCTTAGCGTTATATTGCGATCAGCTGGTCGCCGATCGTCCTGTTTTTACGCATAATGTAAACAAGCCCCGGAAGCGCCAGTCTCATTTCAATGCGCTTGTGCACCCCTACAAGCCTCGTTTTGGCTCTTGTGCAAAGCTTTATTGTAATAGCAAGTCTCATCGGTCATTCGAGTTCTATGTGCCACGGTGATATCTGCTGTTTGTGATCTGCTGACAAAAAAGTCTGTATTAAATGCGAGAAGGAGAACGAAGGTAAAGCTTTTTTAACTGTTTTCTTTCTACAGAACAGGGCAAAGCTTCTAAAACAAGAGCAACCTAAGCTGATATTTGAGTGTGCTCAAGAATGAATGGTAAAAGGTGCTTATGCTAAGTGGTAGATGTACGCAGTTGATTTTCTGTTTGCCTCTGCATTGTAAATTGGAAGATATGTATCAGCAGAAGACACGCGTTCTTTTGAAAATGTCTTTTATTAGGGCAAAAATAGGTTTTCATACACAACCGAAGAATTCGCAACACCATTTAATGCAAGGCCTGAAATTTACATCATCTAAGCAACATCAATGAAAATGTTTGTAGCCGCAGACCGATAAATTTAGGTTTAGATAAGTAGGCGTTATAGTTTCAGCCTCAAACACGCAACATTGTTGATATGTACCTTTCTTGATGACAACTGCACCAACGTGAGAGAGCCCATGTCGTCGAATACTTGCACACATATGTTGACTATGGTACGGCAAGATTTCTTGCTTGAAGTGAAGATCATCTTGCTACGACTAGCTACGACCACCCACCGCAGCGCAGTCAGTCGCCGTCACCCGACGCTGCTCGTTTGGCATTCACGGCTTTTCGCCCAGGTGTTTCGTTTGTACTTGGCACCGAGTGTTTTCTGTGCTTGTGTGTGCTCAGTGGCTGGATATAAGCCTCAAGAGCAGTTCTTCAGGCTCAATGGCATTCGCCGAACAACTTCTGAAAAAAATGCCATTAGGAAAAAAAGCACGAAGACGCAACGCACCAGCTTTGCGGACTATGCACTGGGCGCGAAAATCGGGCCCTGCGGATTATACACCAAATGCAAACTATCTAAAAACAAAAACCTTTTTAGGCTCAAATTGGCTTCTGCGGACTATACGCCAGGACACTGGTGCCTGTTATTATGCATTGTATATTCACTGTTGTTTGTTGTGGCTTGAGACTGCCTTCCTGTAATGATGCAGAGGGGTCCATTCAACCTTGAAATAAAGATATTTAAGCACATCTAGATGCAATGTCCCTTGAAGCCAGATGGTCAGGGAAAAGATGTGCCATTACCTAATTTGCCAACAGCACACCAATGGTCACAATCAAAACTATCAAAGTCAATTGGCAGTTCTCCAACACAAGATTTATTGCCGTGTAATCACCAATTTGGTCCATTAAAAATCTTGAGGCTGTAGCCTATAGCACATCCATTCTGGATCTGCAAAGCTTATGCTGTAGACATGCATCATCACATGAGCATGTTTCTTATCAACCTTAAACGTAAAGCGCTAGTTATGCAACGAAATTCCCATACCATCACATTTTTAGCAAATTGAA